TTAGAAACATGTTGATTGGACACCACACTTCCCATGACATTGTCAGGCTCTCCTGGTTGCGGCTGACTAGGCTCTTCGGGATACGTAACATGAAGGCCAAGCACGAGAGACTGTGATGCAGGCTTAAGTAGTTGAATTGGGACATTTTTGAAAACCTCTTTCATCGCCTCTCTGCAGCTAAGAATGCATATGCTGATGCTGAGCGTGCTTACCATCCAGATTTCTCTCTGGAGAATAGGACTGTGATGCATCGCTGCAACGCTGAGTACCAGCTTCGACTCTTTATGGAGGAGGATTTCTAGAAGAAGAAGGTTATCGTGCACTGGGTTGTTAAGTAGGAGTGTAATACAAAGCAATTTTAGGGTTTTGTGTGGCAAAAATTTGTCAAGTCGTGTATTCTCAATATCAAAAGCAACAGGTCAACCGTGACCTAGGAGACCCAGATATGGTAGTCGGTTGTTGTGCACTTTCAGTTACTCATCACCTCAGAGAGGGACTTGTTTACGACAATGTTCTAAAAATCAGACTTGTCATCGAATCGGTGAAGCTACTGGTTCAATGGTTCACTGGTCGGACCAGTGTTCGAACCTGTTTAACTAATATATAATTTATTTACATATAATGACATTTTTCTAAATAAGAGTTGATAAATCAATATTTGAAGTATAGTTTACCATAAGCAATGCTAATTTAATTTCACTAAAACAATAGATTAATAATTCAATATCTGAAGCAAGGCAACTCAAATTACAAATACAAACTACAAAGTCATCAAACATCGAAGTACATCCAATCCAACATTACAACAAAGGAAAAAAGAAATAGTTTCAAGTAGTTCAAAATCAAAGCCATTTTAAAACAAAACTATTCACCGACTAGAAGGAATCATCATAATTTCAACTAGCTCCTCCAAATCCAACATCGACATAACCATAACCAAGAAGATCATCTTCATCTTCTCCATTTCCATCATCTCCACCACCACCGGAGTTCAAATTGGATGGATCAGGCATATTTATGTCCATTTTAACTTCATTGTGATCTACGTAAATGAAAAAAAAACATAGATTAACATGACGTGCTCAAAATACATATACCAAATTGTGACATAATTTTTTTTTGTAAACAAACAACTTACCAACAATTGGAATAGCTTGTTCATCATAAATTAAGTTTCCAACTTCATTCTCATCAAATTGTGTTTGTGGATCTTCATCTACCACCCAAAAATCAAGCTTGTCAATGCTTTCATAATCAATTGGATCATAAGATTTTTTCTTTTGGTGTTTCTTATAATACGAAAAATTATAATTAATTTAGAGAAGTTCAAAATGTAACCAATGCCAACAAAAGAAACATTGCACATATTAATTAATAAATAATAATATTATCTTACCTATCTTTCAAACGCAAGTTGTAAGTGATGTAAACATGATCACAAAGCCTTTGACGCTCTAGTCTATTCCATTTTTTTGGTGTGGATCATATCAAACAAACTCCAGTTTCATTCACATCCTGATAATGAGGAAGTTTGACTCAAGGTGTGGATGGCAATATTGGAGCATTCCCGCCAAACAACCTCCACCATTCATCTGCAATAATAAAATAGGAAACTAAATTATTAAAAACAAATGAATTATAGAATATGTACGTAAAAAGAATAATACAACTATAATTTTACCTGGTGTAAGGATTTTGCAGCCTGTAAACAAGATGGCCTAGCGAAACTATCCTTGCGCTCTCTATATATTTGTATCTCTTTCATTGCATATCTATATATTTGTATCTCTTTTATTGCATTAATCGAATCATTATGAAGGCTCTTGATGTCCAGTATGTCAAGTAATCCATTCAACACTCTACGTTTCTCACATAAACTTTCATCATAAAAGAAAGCAGGATTGAGAAAATAAGTTGCAACATGGATACTACGATGCAAGTGTTTATCCCATCGAGCCATAATAATTTTGGTGTAAGGCTTGTACACACTTTTTCTTTTTCCGAACATCTGTTTGATACCATTCTTTGACCTTTGCATTCCTTCATACATATACCCTAAAGACGGTTTTTTGTCTGCATCAACAATTCGCAACAGTCTAACAAGAGGTCCTGCAAGCTTAACCGCAATTTGGCATTCTTGCCAAAATTTAGCATCCAATATGGTTTTACAAACATTTTTTCCATTAACACTTTTAGCTATTCTATGACAGGTAAAGTGTTTATCAACCATCAAAGCTTCCAAGTCCTCTTTATGATCACAAATGATTTCAAAAGTAATAAAGACTGTAGCAAATCGAGTAACTCCTGGACGTACTATCTCCTTCCTACCAGGCCTTTTTCTAAGCCAAGACAAAAAATACCATATGATTATAGACAAAGATAGTAATCTTCGAAGCACGAGAAGCAAGATGGCTTATATGAGGTAATGAAGAGTTGTCTTTTAATGTCAGATTCAAATAATGTGCTGCACATGGGGACCAAAATATGTTTTCATACTTATCGTAAATCAACTTTCCAGCTGCTACACAATTTGCTACATTATCAGTCACTACATGTTAAATTTTTGTCACCTTTTTCTCATCGGGCACCTTCGTGAAATGGCGTCCAAATATTTCAGATTTGTCAGCCCACCCCGTCGGCGCCTGTCGGAGTAGACTGTTGACGACTTTGACAGTGAGGTTGTTGAGTTCCTCCACCTTGAGTATGATCGAACTCGTCTTCGTACGGTTGCTCCTGGTTCTCCTCTCCAATTGTATGCTCTCATGGATTTATTCAACAGAGTGAAAGATGCGTTGGACCATCTCGGAATCAATGTCATCAGCAAGGCCCGAAACGTCCTGGTATACCGTTTGTCTCAGCGTCAGCAGGGGCGATCTACTCAAAGAAGTTTCGCCTACATTTTTACGTTTTTGTGGTGGCCTATCACTAGCACGACCAGCACCACCACAAGAACTCGACATTTTATAACCAAAATACGTTTTGTAAAATAAAAAAGATAGGTGAAAAATGATAGAATTAGAAAGGAAAGGGTATTATGTAAGTATTAAATTTATAGAATCCAA